AGTCGTTTGAAATCACTGAAAATCTTCGACCTAGAGTAAAATGGGCTTTCTTAGACGCATCGCTTTGCTCACGCGTCTCGACATGTTTCGGAGTAGAGAAGTCTGATTGAGCCTTAGCACACACCCGCTCCTTTGCCAGATTAGAAGTTACATGGGTTAGCCAGATCTTGCGAAAGCTTAGAGAAAAGACAGTGAAAACGATCCTACTGGCTCAACCGATTTGATAAATGTCCCAACCAGGAATAGCTACTAATGATCTAGAGCAAGTGCCTGGACACGCTCTGTTCCAGAAAAGGATTCTTATCTCACGAAGCAAAATTGTTTGCACGTTGTTGGAACGTTCCCACGAGTTGGGAACGTTGGAAACACTGTCTTATGCGTCCGCCTCCCCCACTCGAAAGGATATAAAATCATTGAAGCTAATTGACTGACCGGAGACATCTATTCTAATGCATTAACAAGAACAACCCTTGAGCTACATACCCCAACGGCGAGTAAGAAAGAAATAGGAGAACACAAACTATGCTTGTCACAAAGGGTTTGTCGATTCTGGTTGTAACAAAGGCACCCCTGGCTGATTACATGGAAATCAAAATGAACTCTCATTTTGTTTTATGAAAGCAAGGGTGCTAGAATTTTATAATTGTTAGGAACATCAACATTGCGACAGCTACGTATTTATCTGTTCTTTTCTAATAATTTTAACCTGCTACACGACTTTATATGCAAAGATGTCTCTCAAGGTGGAATTTTTTGATCAAACTAAAGCAGTCGACACATCTACGATTGAAATCTGTTGCCGTTCGTTTCGCTGGCAAATTGCTGAATTCAAATGGTTCAATCTTGCAATGATACCGTAGCCGCAAAAAAAAACTCTCATACATCATTTTGACAGAACTTTGCTTACCGAAAAAATAATCAATGTGTCTTGCTGAAACATCGGCAGCTATAACAAAAATTCAGTTTCCTGTGTAGTTATTGTGTGAAACGAGTGAAAAATGCCTTCTATTGAATTTTCCCTAGTTTAAAGTACATTTCACGCATTTGTAATAATGAAAAATCAAGTGAACTGTTGTATGATTTGTGCTGATAGCCAGGTTCAGTCCTCATCAGCCGTCTGTATTACGACGCTTGTTTAATTTTGTTTTTCTGTTCTGCTGAGTGAAGATTTGTTTAGCTTCTCTGATTCTTTCTTCAATTTATTTAAGTTATGATGAAAATGAACAGTTATTTAGGTAATGACAGCTGTGAAACGTTTAATTCTTGAAGCTTATTTTTGATGTGTCTTTTTAGCTGTATTGAATACTGCTCTTGGTGAACGATTTGAGACAGGTCTACTGATTGAATGACGATATCTATAGTGACGCGTAACTGAAGTTGACTAAGACGGTGAAATCAACACGGGTTTAAACCTCAAGGTATTTGTGCTTGTAACTGAAAAACGAACCTTCTAAACCTTCAGGGAGTTTAAAAATTCGAAAGGTCAAAATCGGGGTTACACATTATGGTAAATATTATTTTGGATAATCAACTCTAGGTGGATCAAGGCGAAATGCATCCACGAAGGGGTGCTCCCGTCGAACGACATGACCAGACCGGAATACCGTGCTGTCCCTAATATTCTCAAGTCAGTAACCCGTTTATCAGGAGGTTACACCACAGCATTTGGAATTAATTCCTTGCTAACGGGCATTCTCGATTAAGGTAAATATTGTTTTTTGAGGGAATTTTAACCTGGCGCTTCTGGAGATCAAAGTGGAACTCAGTCATTGTGTCACCTCATAGTTGCATTCTTCACTCACACTCATTGTTTCAATTTCAAGACCAACTATTCTTTCGGTGTTCGCATGTTGTCCATCGTCGAATGTCATTAGTAGCTGTCAAGTTGTTTTGTTCGGGCATTAAGTATTTAAAGTTTACTGCCCGAAAGTCGTCACAGCAAACCCATTTCTTCATCCGAATCGACATGGAGCATATAATATGAAATCGGAAATTAATCGCAGGTAATAAATCAGATAACATACAGTGACTGCAACAAAATGGGAAGATGCCAGAGAGTAGATCGCAGGTAGTTGAGTCAAAATTTAAACTGCAGAAATGTTACAGTGAGCATGGCGTTGCTGCCTGCGGGTTCGCTTCGCGCCGAAGCTGGGGCAGTGGATGTTATGAACAGTTCGGTCGTTGTGAAATGCTCATTTGTGCGTCCTTTTTCGCAATTTGCTATTCCTGTTGGATGGCGAAGTGCAATGATCGTTATAAATTCTTTTTTCTTTTATCGATTTACGGTTTATGCCTTAACTGATTTTTATTCAACTGTCAGACGAATAAAGACAAATTGCAGCCGTAAGCCCTTACTGGCTTTTAGTCGGCTTCTCTGAGTTCCAAGCCAACACTATTTTGCCACAGTCTCCCCCAGCCCATCCGGCAAATATCTCAACTATTGGTAATTACACAATGGCAGTTCGTTTACATGTGTGATTACATCGCAATACTGATCGGAGCACCGTATTTTCACCGGAGTTTCCATGTTATCATTTTTCAACAAAAGATATGATTTTTCTGTCTGGCTTCATCAGTAACTCGTTTTCCGGAAGAGTTGTTCTTTCTGTCCACGAAATATCTTTTTTCGTGGCATAATAAACGACTTGACTTTGTTTTCTTTGAGGATTAATGCGTACGATGGCCCCCAGTCGTTCTTTCCATGTTTGTTGGCGGTATTTTTCTGAGATTTACTTTAAAAGCATATATAGAACTGTGTCAACCCCTGAATACCAAGGCCATTTAAACCGACTGTGGAACATAACCCCCGTTGGACGTTCCCCTGATCACGACCATTACGCTGGTAGTATCGGCAGTGCGAAAGTTGAATAGAAAGTAGTATTTCTCTATGTTTGGGAAGAATCTTTCGGAAAGCGAAAGGATGACAGTGAAAAGATTATAGAATATGAATTATCGTAATAATAATTGATGTTGGGTAGTAAACGTAGTTAATGACGCATTTATATATTAATTTTGTTTGTCTTTGGCTTTGTGTGTCATCTTTCTGACGTGAAATTAATTTCGTTTCAGCTTTAACTTAGCATGGCTGCACCAGACGATGACATCCAGGAGTTTGAGGATGAAGAGGAGGTTGCCATGGAAGGTACGCCGTCTACAGCAGCGGGAAATGCTGATCTAAATCGGAAACACTACTTTGTCAAAGAGCTTCGCTGTATGCTGTACGGATTTGGAGACAGCAGAGTTCCATACACGGAAACCGTGAATCTCCTCGAGGAAATCGTCCTCTTTTTCCTCAGGACGTTCACAATCCGTGCTATGGAAAATGGACGGCCGGGAAAGATTTTGCTTCAAGATATTTGGTATCTTATTCGGAGAGATGCGCGAAAGTATGCTCGAGTTAAAGACCTGCTGCTGATGAACGAGGAGTTGAGAAGAGCAAGAAAAGCGTTTGACGAAGCAAAATACTAACAGCTTACCAATTTTCGATGCATTCGCAGAGTTGGCGGTATTTTGCAACGGTTATTGTCATTACGTTTTTTTTTACTTTAAATCAAGTGTATGGTTTAATGACTGATGTACCTATAGCCACCTTGTTCTTTACAGATACTCATATTCAAATGTTTTGTCATTAAATAGAGTACTGTATTGGCTTCTTTCGTTAAACTAAAAATTAAACTGATACGTTTAAATATTCGTTGTCATAGAGAATTGTACGGATTGTTCATATACGTGGATATCAACAGATTTTCTCAAGAAGCAATGTTTTCGTATATTAACTATAAAAGTTAAAATCAAATACCAGCTGTTAAATGTCCCGTAACCCACTTACGTGAGTATCTTCTACAGGCAGTCGACGAAATCACAATCATCATCTTCGACCTTTATACATCCATTACTGGATGACTTCACCAAGACTATTTCTGCTTTCTGCCGTTTTCATCCGTCTTGATCTATTGAAATTCATCCTGTCTCGATCTGGATTTCGCCTCACTGGCCGTTTACTGTCTTTTGAAACTCATTCTAATGTCTGTATAGTCAGACGATGATCGGTTCCACTTGCGACGTGTCTTACCCATTGTTCCTTTAACTTCTTCACTCGGGCAATGACATCTTAGACTTACCCATTCGTTCTCCCCATATTTTTTTATCTGTGGCATACACTGTTCCCTCCTGAGTTGCGAAGTCTGCAGTTTATTACTAACTTTCAGAAACAGAATCCATG